TTGCCCTGTTTGTGTTGGCTGCCAGATCCCTTCCCTCCTCCATGTCACAGAGGGGCTCACCACTGGGTTTTCCATCAGTTTCTGCTGATAGGAAGCACTGGCAGATTAGAAGGCAGTATGGAGAGTTTCTGGATTTGGGGGTGTTTTTAGCAGTGGAGATGGCAGTGGCCAGCAGGCATGCACTCCTGGGTCTTGTTTAGCCCGTGAGGTTCAACCAGGAGCATCCTCAGCAGCCCAGTGGTCCTAAAACTCCTTTGGGTGACACTTTCTATCCCTCCAGTCTGTGTGTAAAAACAGCTTCCTGCACGTACCAACTTTTGGGTCATGTCAAACACTCGCTGTTGCTCCTTTCATCCTTCCAAAAGTTTTCTCAACCGATTCCCTGCACTAAATCCCCTCTGTTTGAAGCACCTACACAGTTTCCATTTTCCTGACTCTTCCCACAAAACAGTCCCTCAAAGTTGGAAACCAAGATTATCTGCTCCGATCAGGACAGAACACAGTGACAACCTTGTTGTGATGGAAATGGGACCCTAGGAGGCCATAACATTCACTGGCAAAACCAGTTCATACAGTATCACCTATTTTAAGTGCCTGGGGTGAAGTGTCTCTTCAAGGCAAAGCTTGGGAGACTGGATGGCCGCTGTCCTTCATCAAACCACAGGACCAAGCCTGGACAGACTCTGACCACCTGGGGAGTCAGCAGAAAGTAGGTGATAAACTCAGCTCAAGGCATGGATAGAAAACCAGGGAGCATCTTTGATAACCAGAAAAGAATCTCTTTAATATCCTGTAGCCATAAGACTGAAACAACTGAAAACATAACCCTAAATTTGATCCTGCAGGTTGCAGAGCTACAACGCAAGTTGAATTCACAGCCTCATTGGATCTCTTATGTGAAATTTAGGGCATTGATCTGGAAGGAGTGGAACCCTGAGAATCGTAAAGGGATGTTTGGGTGGACTTGAACAAATCCAAGAACCCTGAACTGAGGAAGAACAGTGTGAGTGTATGGCCAGGGACTCTGACCCCAGCTTCACGAGCAATGCAGCCTTCTCCATGCCAGCCGGGCATTCCTAGTGAGCTCAAGGCAGGACCCCACGTCAGCCTTCCAGATGAGCAGGGGAGTTGCTGCAAGTTTTATCCGTTTATTGCTTTCTAGGCCATCTGTCACCTGGAGTAGACATAAGGCTCACAACACATAAGCTCAACACCACTGTCAAGACAAGACAGGAGCTGGGCTTGGGTCCTGGTCCCCTCTAGCTGTGTGGGCTGCTTCCCTACATCGAGCTTCAGTTTCCTTATCTGTCAAACAGGCCTAATAACATGTATCTCCTAGGACTGCTGTGAGAATTAAATGGGATGACACTGCGAAGGGCTTGGCAGTTGCTGTCCCCTTTTCTCTTTTGTTTGGGGTGGCCACTAACTCCACGTGGGAACTAGAAGGAAACACTCCTTTCTAAGAGTGACGTGGGCCTAGGCTTGGTACAGGATCCCCACAAGCTCGTGTTTTGGGAACTTTAGCCACCACTTTCTCTGATGGGCCTGCATTAACACAAGGCGGCCCCACCTCCCTGCACTGGACCAGAAATCCCAAAAGTTCATGCCTAAGAGAGTGGCTGGCGTGATTCGCAGCCTCTTCCTGGGAAACCCTACAAGACTGCTCATACATCAGAGCTGGGCTGTGGCCTCAGGGGGCCTTTGCCCCAGGAGGTGGAAACTGGTGTGGGTCCCAGGCAGGCAGGGAAGGAAGGGCTGTGGACAGCAATGCTGCCCACACTGGGGCTGGGATCCTGGCAGGGAGTCCTCAGCCAAGCCCTGGTGCCACTCAGAGACTCACTCTCCTGACAGCCTGCAGGATGTGCCAACCACTGAATGAAGAGAGGCTGGACACCAGGGAGGGAAGAATGGAGGACAACTGCAGAGTCTGTCTTCTCCCCATCCCTCACATGGGGGACTCCCCACTGTACCTCATTACCTCACTGTTAAAAACAGGGCTAACCATCAGGTCACCATGGGCTGATGGCCACCAGGCTACTGCTTTTACTGAAATGTGCATCATGCCATCTGTTCAGGAGTTTGGGAAGTAACAAAAAGAGCTGGTCTAGGACCAGCCTTGGCCCAGACACCATGTGTAACAGGTCCTGAGTAGGAAAGGCACATGAGTTACCACCCACCTATTGTGACCAGGCAAGAAAGAGAAACCCACACCATGAGGTGGGCAGGAGACCTTTGGGTGAGCTGCCAGGGAGAGCCAGGTAGGGTCTGAGCATCCCTCTGCCCAGCCACAGGACTCACCAAGGCGCATGAACTGACCCACATGACCAGCCTCCTGACCAAGGGCTCCCAGAACATGCTGCAACAGGGGAAGGGTGAGGCTGGGACGCCAGGCAGATGGGATAGCACCAGAGGATGGCCTGTGTAGGCTAAGGGTGGGCTGAGGCCTCCAGGGTGGGATGTCTGCTCCCAGCCTGGGGGAGACGGGCCTCCTGTTGCCACCGTGAGGCTCTGGTGGACACCACGGGCCAGGCCCTCTACAGCCCTGTCGTGGCCCCTGGAGTGGGGCTGGCAGTACTTCAAGGCGGCCCAAGCCGCAGAGGCTTGGGTCACACCTGTAGGAGCTCAGGCCAACACTGCTGAGAAAGTCCCGGCTGGTTCCCGGGCCTGGGCCTGCACAGGCCTCCATGACCTCACGTCTCCTGGTTCAAGTACTATTTTGTGGGCGGTTGGTGCGCGAGTGGCCTGCTGTTAGAGCACAGTGCATGGGACCTCAGGTTCAGGTGGAAAGGGAAGGGCCGGGCCCATCTCCCCAGCTGCCACTTGGCTAGGCCTGGCACTGGCCTTCTGGGGCCTCCCGTGGGTAGACTGGGAGGGTGCTGGACTATCTCACCGTGGGCCACTGAGGGACACAGCCCAGCCCACAATGGGGCGTCTGTGCTTACACTTGGGAGAAAGGTGTGGAGGGTGGGGGGTGATCATAGGAAGGGAGGGAACAGAGGGGACAAAAAGAAGGTCCAGGCCTGATTGGCCCATCTGTCCATTCTTGGGCCTGCAGCCTGCTGCTTCCTTAAACTGAGCTAGGAATGGGGCACCCAGCCTTGGAGGAGACACAGGACAGCCTGAGTTCACCTTCTGCCAGCTACATCTTTGTGGAGGCCAAGACCTTCTCTGGCTCTTCACATGAGCCCTTTGTAAACAGAGCTGAGGATGGTCTCGACTCTCAGAACTTCCGGAGGCCAGAGCAGAAGTATCTGGCTCAGGGCAAGGGGTAGAATGTGGGGAGGGGGTGCTTAGGAAGGTGACCCCTGCTGGCCCATGCCACAACTCACAGTGGGGGGGGGGGCTCTGAGGTTCCCCCTATGGGCAGATCTCTAGGGACCTGCAGCTGGGGTAGGGGAAAGGCCTCTGTGCACAGATGGCTGGGATGGGCCTGGGAAGGAGAGGAGAAGGGTCTTGGTGCCAAGACGGGGGGGCAGCGAGGTGAGTGGAAAACGCAACCACAGGCCAGTCCAGCACCTGCTGTGTGGAGTCAGACAAAGGGAGGAATCACTACAGCAACTAGTGTCCCAGCACCTACCTCCCTGAGCCCTGCACTGGAAGAGGAAGGCAGGCGTGGTCCCATCAGCCTCCCCCTGTACCCACCCAGAGTCCAGCCCAGACACCCCAGAGGAGACACATCCCCCAAGGGATGAGATGTTGACTAATGTCTCAGCCCCAAAGAGCCCCTGACTCTTGGGTTATCCCCCAGCTCCACAGAGGAGCAGGAAGGAATCTGACCCTTGTTAGAACAAGCATAGAGAGAACCCAACTCTGAAACAGCCCTGAAAGGAAGCCACAAGGTCCCAGAAAGCCTGGTCCCACAGAACCAAAGTGTACTCAGTGTGCCTCCCACGCAGTAACCAGAAGGTTGGCCTGGGGGGCAGCCCTGGGAACTGTGACAGGCAACAGGCCGTCCTGGCTCCTGCCTGCCACAGAAAGAGGACACTGATGTCTGGGGGCAGCACAGGAAATCCCTCCGGCTGTAAGGTTTCTTCCTCTTGGTAGTGAGGGCGGTTTTTGGAGAACAGGTGGCCTCCCTTCCACCCTCAGCTCCAAGACGTCCTCTCATCCTTTTGGAGACAGCCTGGGTGGTGGCTGCAAAGAGGCCAGCAGGGGTGGGGCCTGCAGCTGCTCAGGTGGCCTTGGGGCTCCCTCCTGGCACACATGGGCACAGGGGAGAGCAGCCCACCAGGGACAGGGCCTCGGATTACTGCACAGCTGCAGCACAAGAAACCAACAAAAGACGAGGGACCAAGGAGAGGAAAACACCTACCGCATCCCACCACCAGCCTGCCAACATGCCACATCCTGCACGTGTGTTCATGTGTGTGTTCACATGTGTGTATGTGCACAGAAGAGCCTGGGCTGGGCTGTCACTCAGTTCGCCGCTCTCCTTGTCTCTCACATCAGGGAGGGCCAGCCCCTCCGCCTGCACCAGGCACAGAAGTCTGAGAAAGAGAAGGGGGTGGTGCTGGTGGCAGGTGAGGTGTGGTGCTACCACCCTCAGAAGTTGGCACACAAGGCTTCTTATTGCTCTTCTTGGCTCCAGGAACACCCTCCTCATTTGCAGAAGGGACACAGACCCAGGAGAAGTGGCGGCAGAGATCCCACATCAGCCCTCCTGCTGATCACCAAGCAGAGCATGGCAGGTGGGACCCAGACTGGCCCTGTGTGCTGCCTCCAGCAGGCCTTCCGGGAGGCCAGCTGGTCTCTGTAGAATAGGAGCTGTTGTGAATAGGACAGGCTAGAATAGGAGCCTTCCCTTGGTCTTGGTCTCTGGGTCACTGCCCATCCTGAGCCAGCTGCCTCCAGGGGTCTGGACTTAGGTCACAGATGGGCGTCCTTACAAAAATAACTCTGAGTCTGTCCACAGTGGGACTAGGTTCCTGAGAGCACGCAGGGGCCGGGCGAGGGCCAGGTGGAAGGGTCTGGCAAGGAGCGCTCCCGCCCGCCGGCCGGGGTTACGGCTGCAGGCGCTCCAGGTACTGCGGCAGGGGGTTCTCCTTGACGTACTTCTGGATATACCAGCACGTGAGATGCGCCTTCAGATCCTCCTCCACCACGAAGTCCAGCGCAGCCTGGGAGTTGGGGCAGAGAGAAGGACAGTCAGGCCCTCCCAGCTGACGCCCAAGATCACAGAGGCCCAACCCGAAAAGGTAGCCTCCTCCCTCCACAGCCTCAGTTTTCCTGGCTGCCCTCCCACTTTGCCCAGGGCAGTAACTCCCGGAGTTTCATCCTTAGTAACCTAGAAGAAGCCCCACAGACCAGTGCACAGACTGGTCCTTTACAAAAGAGACATACCACTTCTCCCCGGGAAGGTCCAAATCCCACTACCCCCAGCAGCACTGAAGGGAAGGCAGAGGAGGCCCTGCAAGCCCAACCCTCCCAGTCAGGAGCAGGGGCAGGGGCGGGGCAGGGCGGTGGGGGGAACCGGCTGAGGCCCAGCTAAGTCCCAGGGGCAGCCCTCAGGGGAACTGAAGGCCATTCTTTGCCCCAGCTGTAATTGCCCTCATTAAGCCCAAACCCGCCATCAGGCAGTTTGAGGTGCTTTGAGATAAAGGGGTGGAGATGAGAATGGGGCTGCTGAACGTCACTTGTCTGTTCCCCAAGAATTTATGAGCACCTATTACCCGCCAGGCACTGGGGCCCTAGGACAGAAGCAATCTTGTTGTGAAGCCAACAGACAGGTGTGTGAGGACACTGGAGGCTTAGCCATGCCTGTGCCACCATCTTGTCTTTTCTGAGTGAGAGGGTGGCAGCTCCCACGCTCCCATCTACCGCCCACCCTACCTTTGCGAGGTGCTTGGCGATGCCGCGCCCGCGGTAGGCATCAGGGACCTCCGTGTGCTGCAGGTCCACAATCCGCTTGCCCACATACTCATACAGCAGGACAGCCTGGTCATGACATCCTGCGGGGGTTGTGGAGGCAGGTGAGCCCGTGGAGACTCCGGGGTCCCGGGGGCTCGGCCAACCCTAGCCCAGGGTCCCACAGGGGCTCAGCGGACCCAGGCCCAGAGGCCGGGGATGAAAGGACAGGCATTTGGAGCCATTCAACTGCTGGAGTTGAATCCTGAATAATCTCTCTGTGCCTCAGTTTCCTCATCCGCAAAGTAGGGGTAGAATAAAATGCTCTTCACAGGGTTGTATGGAGGATTAAGTGCGGTACCTTCTGTGAAATACCCAGAGCAGTACCTAGAACACAGGCCCCATGGGAGCCTTTGTTACTGTCATCAGTCCCAGCATCCCAGGGCCCTGGTCCTTCCAGAGCCCTGCTCTCTGCATCCACACCTTCCCTTGTCCCAGGGTCTAGGGATCCCAGGGCTCAGCACAGGACAGAGTAGGGCTTGGCAAATCAGTTACTCAACAGAGCACGAAGAGATGAGAGAGGCAGCGCCACAAGATGCATCAGGACCACCTGCGGGGCCCTGCAGAGACACAGCATGGAAGATGTGGCGCCACAGTCCATGAGAAATTGACACTGGACACAGGAGGCAGGAACAAACAGGTCTTCACCATCCACCCCAAGGCCTGCAGGAACTGGGGCTGCCAGCCCACCCCAAACTCCCACTGGACAACTAACTAAAATTCTTCCAACCACAGTATTATTAAAGTGACCCATCTGTGTCTGTCCCTACCCATCCGTCCATTCCTTTATCCAATCACGAGCCATTTACCTGTCCACTCATCCATTCACCAATCCACCCGCTCATCTACTCATCCACCTGTCAGTCCGTCCGTCCGTCCGTCCATCCATCCATCCATCCACCCATCTGTCAGTCCGTCCATCCATCCACCCACCCACCCATCCATCTATCCATTCACCTATCCATCCAATGTTTATTGACCCCAGGCACTGTTTCAGGTGCTGGGAACACAGAAATAAACAAGCTAGACAAGGAGTCCTGCCCTCACGAAACTGATGAAAAGGGAAGAAAGATACTTAAAATGAAAAGCAAGTGAATGTGTAGCATGTCAGGGGATGGGGAGTGCTGGGTGGTCGATAGAGACAAGAGGGAGGGGAGGGCATCAGTCAGTCAGTCCATGCTGCCTGGGGGAACAGTGTTTTAGGCAGAGGGAATAGTTAGCGCGAAAGCTCTGAGGTAGGAGTGGGCCTGCATGAAAGACAGTGAGGAAGAGGCTGGGTGGCTGGAATGCAGTGGAGGAGGGGGAGGGAGAGAGAGAGAAGAGCAGGGAGGGGATGAGGCGGCGGGGAGGGAGGCCCTGCAGAACCTCCTAAGCCATTGTGAGCTGGGCACTGCAGGAGGGTCCTAGGCAAGGGAACGGGATGTGACTCATAACTACAGGATCCTGCTGGCTGCTGTGAGGAGAACAGACTGGGGGTGAGAGCAGAGAGCCCACTGAGTGAAGATGGGGTACAGACCAGGGTGTGGGGTGCGATGGGGGGGCAGACTCTCCGGGATTGTTAAGGTGTAGCCACCAGGATTTGCAGAGGGCTCGGATATGGTCAATGAGGGAAGGAAGAGCCCAGGACAACTCCAAGGTTACTAATTTCAGAGAGCTGCAGGTGCAGGAAGGTCAGGGCCACGAAACCAGGGGCGGCCAGGGAGGCCCCTCCAAGCAGAAAAGCTCTGAGCTGAGAGAAGAGCAGTGAACAGGAAGCAACTGGGGGAAGTTCAGGGAAGGACGGGTGGGACTTCGTCAGTGCAAAGGCCCAGAGGTGGGAAGACCCAACTCACTGGCCTTGAGAAAAGCATGTCAGTGCCACGTGTCTTTCCTACTTTTTAAAAGAATGTCGTATTTCATGTGTTTGAACTTTAAAGCCCCAGAGAATTTGCTCCTAAATGCTACTGGGGCTTCTAGTCTGTACCAGGTGTCACCAGGGGAAAACTGACAGGCCAGCAGATCAAATGACAGTCCAGGGCCACCTGGCGAATCAGACACTGGAACTGAGTCCAAACCCAGTTAGGAGACCTCAATCCTCTCCAAAGCTCCAGGAAAGAGGCCACAATTCATCTCCCCATTTCCAGATGAGGACCCGGACCCGTAGATCCAAGTCGCATAGCAGGCCGAGGCGAAGCCGGAGCCCAGGCCTGTAGGTCCTGGGCCACGCCCATTCTTTCTGCTCCACCAGACAGGCCCACGACTTCCTGCTCCAGGCCTTCCCCTAGGCAACTCCCTCTGCCTGGATGCCTTTCCCCTGTTCTGCCAGGTCCAGCTGAGGGGGACCTCAGCCCCACCTCTTGCAACACTTCCAGGCTCCCGGGCCTGGTGTCTCCTCCTTGTCGTGGGCTGCCCTGGCGGAGGCAGCCCGTGGCCTCCACCACTGCCTGCACAGCATGGGACTCAGTTCTCAGCCCCACACCTGTTGGGGTTAATTCAGCTCAGCCAGGGCAGGCAGGCAGAGATCGGGAGGCTATTTTGGGACTGACCTGGTCATCAAGGGAGCTGCCCGCCTGCCCTGACCATTTAATTGCCCCAGCTCTTGAGGGCCTATGCTGTCCAGGCAGAGTTCTGGGGGAGGGCAGGCAGCAGTGAACACAACTGACAAAACCCTCCCTCACGGAGGTCTACTCTAGTTGGGGAGACAGACAATAAGTCACATCAGACATACCATACAGACCAGCTGATGCTTGCTAAGGAGGACAGAACAGCAAGAAGGGGTAGGGAGGGGAAGGGCTGCCCTTGTAGAGAGAGAGAACAGGGGAAGCCTCTCTCGAGCAAAGACCTAAAGGAGTGAGGGACCCCATAGGAGATGTAGAAGATGAGCCATCCAGGTGGCAGGAACAGCACGAGCAAAGGCCCTGGGGTAGGATGTTCAAGGAACAGTAAGGGGGCCAAATGAGCTGGAGAGGACAGTTAGAAAGCCAAGTTGGGGGGTCCTGGGGTCAGACCACACAGGGCTTTTAAGGCCACTGCAAAGACCTTAGCTTTTGCTCCAGCACAGTCTCTGCAGAGTAGGGAGGCGGTGGGGGCATGGAGTCCTTGCAAGTTTGGTAGTGCTCCTCTGTTTGTTCGTCCAGCCAATATTCCTGGAGTTGCCATTGGGCCATGGATGGACTTGATCCTGGGATACCTCAGAAATTCTCTGCTTCCTGTCAGCCCCCGATAGTCACATGGGCTCAGTTACCACTGTATCCTTGACCCATCCTAGGTAGAAACCCAATAAATATTTGTCCAACAAATAACAGCTGTCCTCTCTCTACCAGACACACACTGGGGCCTCAAGGAGACCTGCAGGTGAGCGGCATGACCAGCATGCCAGCCTTCCCAGAGCCAGGTCCTCGTGCCTTTGGGGCCTGGCTCCCCATGCAAGGCCCCTGTGGGGCGGGCCGGGCTCCCCCCGCTCCGTAGAGCAACCCTCACGACCATCCTACTAAACAGGTCCAATTCTCACAGCCCATCCACAGGCAGGGAAACCGAGGCTCTGAGAGGCAGTTCCAGAGGTGTGTGAAGCTGGCTGGGGACGGGGCTGAGTCACAAGGAGAGTCTTCAGGCTAAAAGGGAACAGACGGTGTTTGGGGTCACCAGGGTAGACATGGGACTCTGTGTGAGGGAAAGACTGAGTTTAAATGGATGCCAGACCATGTTGTGTCAGGCAAGCAAGGTGTGGACTCTCAGGTAGCAACTTTGGGGTGTCTCACCAGGATGCCAAACCCCGGCCTTGGAGGGCCCTTAAAGGCCACTCAGTCACAAGTACCCACACCCACAACATGGCCCACAATGCAATCCCAGTCCCCGTGGTCCAGCTCCTGGCCCTGTTCCCAAACCTGCCTGAGATCCCCAGAAGGTGGTCTCCCCTAGTCCCTGTGATTCAGGCCAGGATCCTTGGGTCCTCCCTACCTGTCCTCTTCTCAGACCCTGACCCTCTGGCCGGCCCACGGGCACATCTGTCAAGGAGTGCCTCGAGTCTGGCCACCCTGCTGGCCTCCCCATAGTGCCACAGAAGCTGCCTTTGCCAGCTGCTCCTTGCCTGCCACCTCTTTACCCAGACCCTTCCGGGGGTGGCCCCTTATCACTCCAGGGGAGCCCAAACGTCACCTCCCAGAGGCTTCCCCTGACAGCCTCACATGACAGCAGGACACCAGGACAGCACTATCAGCCATGCCCTCACCTCTGGGCACCACAGCCACTGCATCAGTGGCTGAGCAGCTGGGCTGTGGATACCACTATCTCGGCTCCTGGCGACATGAGCACATCCTCCTGGTCTGGTCCGGGGCCCAGGCTCTTATCTGGGAGAGGCTCTAGGAGCTGCCTGAGAGCCCCAAACCTCAGACTAGCACAAGGAGGCAGTACTCATCACCCTGGAGCTGCAGGAACAAGCCGGGGTAGGGCAGAGCCCGGGGCTTGAGTCTCAACTCTGCCAGGGGATCTTGGGGCAGGTAGTCCAAGTGGGACAATCGCTACTGCCCTCCTCCCTCCTGGCCCTGAGGATCCCCTCGAGGTCGTGGACTGGGACTTGTTTTGAGAAGAGTCAAAGCTATTTTGCTCATGGGGGACCCTTTGCTGGGTCTCTCGACCCCATGACCTCTGCCCTTCCTCAGCCTCAGGACCAAAGGGCCCTAGAAGTTGTCGGGGGAAGGGTCACAGAGAAAGACACAAGCCTGCTGGTGGGCAAGAGGAAGAGGGCTTCTGGGCGCCTCCACAAAGCAAAAGGTGGTGACTCCACCTTCTCTACTCTCTCTGTCCCCACCAACCCTGAGAGAGGGCTGGTGGATCAAAATGCCCACTGTCCAGATGAGGATACTGAGGCAGAGGTAAAACCAGAACCCAGGTCCCTGGGAGCCAAGCAGGCCCCAGAAGTCCCTGGCTGGCTTTTCTGGGTGCCTCCACGGGCAGAGCTAGATTTGGAGAGGGGCAACATGTGGGTGGTTCAGAGGCAAGACAGGCAGAGGAGGCTGTGAGCCTGGAGGAACTCAAAAGGGGTTCCCGCTCCCCAACAGGACCCTCA